CCGAGCCTGCCCCTGCCGCGTTGAGAAGATCGCCGTCGATCCCCAAAATAGGCGATACGTTTGGTACTGTCCCACGCAAAAAGATCAACCCCAGTCAGATTTCATCCCCGAAGCTAGTTTCAGCTTCTACGAGTGTGGACGCGATACCTCTTCGACCTTCGTCGGCAGCCTCTGGACATCCCAATGGATCCAGCAAAATTGGCTCGCGCATTCGTAGGCTTAGGACCACCCTTCGCGCGAAAACGCCGCTTCCTGGTGTGAGCGATGAGCGCCCCTCTGCAGAGTTACGGACACCTTCCTCAGCCCCCCTTCTTACTCAATTCCATGTACCCATGGACCCAGATCCTGTCGTGGTCGGCATAAACGACCAGCATCATCTCAAGATCCCCGGAGCCGCTGTACCTATGCCCAGTCCCCCTGCTTCGGCCACTCCAGGCCTGAAGGGTTTCATGGCTCGTTTCCGAAAGCAGCGTGCCAACGATTCATATCCCACAACACAACGCCAACGGCCTCCTTTCCCCCCTGCCACCACCTCCTCGTCTGCTTCGACCCCGTCGTATGAGCGCACTTTTGACCAGGCCTCGCAGTCTGCTCCTGCTACCAAGATGGAGTTTGTTGGGGCTGGGGCAATGAAGTCTTCGGCTGCGAGATTACAATCACCACATGCTAGCGAAACGACGAGGGAATCAACATTGGCGGGCAGACCGTTGTCACCGCCCCAGGCTCAAGTTCAGAACGAAGATGCCCTTCAACAGTTCTTCGATGCGGCTTCAAGTCTAGGATTAGCGCAGGATGACATCAGAGATCTACTTGCGCGCTCGCCTTCCACTTCGTCTAAAGCAACCGCCTTGTCTAGAATGGCTTCAGTCACTGAAAGTAGGAAGAGTCAGTTGCACAGTCTCCGTATTGGTGGGGCACCCGAGGGCGGTCGATCCGCCCCGTACTCTGACGGAAGGCCCAGCATTGACGCAGTGTCACAGAGACCTTCTGCGGAGTTTCAGCAAACACGTAGGACGCCTGAGATTCACCTTCGGCCTGCGAAGGAGAACGGCGCAGATCCCTCTCTGAATCCTATTGTGCGACGAACCATTATTTACCCTTCAGAATCTAGGAATTCAACAGTCGACATGAACAACCTAGTACGAAAGCAGTCAGCCTCACGACGTCGTAGATCGGCTGGTGCTAACTCAATACAATCCACTCGCTCGATTCATGATCGTGTACCTACGCCTCCTCCTAACAAAGCCGTTGGCGGAGGGCGCTTCTCCACTGACCGCTCTCCTCCGGTACCCCAGTTACCACCTTCGCTTGCATCGCATACTGATAATGTCACCTCACCTGGTCAAATGGAGCAATCTTCTTCTACTTATGATTCATTGTGAGTCGACTTACTGGTATCGATCCCAGTTCGTTAATGTGGCCACAGCTATGATATGTACACCGGTGATGGTAAGCCTAATGTTCAAAATTTCGAAACGCAAGGGGCAAGTTCCGCGCATCATGCACAGGCTGCTGCAACCCCAGAACCGGGACCCGCATTGGAGGTGATTGAGATGGCTAATGGCGAGACTATTTGGTATGCTTTGACAGAATTTGCTGCGTCTTGACAATAATAGATCATATCCTAGGTCGATTGTGAATGGCTTGCGAGATGACGATGGGGAGTCTTTTTATGGAGATCGCGCTAGTTTTGTCTCCGAATATTCTCAAAGAGAATCGAGTGTGGATGGCCTCAAGTTATTCTTCAAGGGTCACGAGAAGAAGTCCTCTAAGGGCAGTAGCTCCTCTTTCTCTGCGCGCAAGCGACCCCAGTACCTACCCGGAGCTGTACGCCCTGAGACGAAAGTACGCTCACCGTGCTGGTGAATGTGCCGGTGCTGACTGCGTTCACAGGTATTCTTCAGCTCCTCGGCCCAAATTGGTCGATTGATCGAAAATCTCTCGCGTGGCGTTGACGCCGGATCATTCAACATCTCGGCCGAACAGGAGCAGCCGCGTCTCGGACACTCTGCGTCTTCGTCGTTCGTCTCTGACGCCGATGCGCGCTGGACAGTCGAAGAGAGACTTGAACAGATGCTCGGGTCGATTAGCTCAAATACCTGATGTTCAAACGGACATTGTGCTCGCTGTGATCTTATTTGCTATTTGGTCTTTATTGATTTAATTTTGGGGGCTCGTGACTTTGTTTGATGCGGCATATGCAAGACCGGGGCGCGAGTATCGCACGATAACATGTATCAAGTGATGATTAGTGATTGGTTTGTCCTATATCTACTGAAACCTTGACTTGCGCTCACATTCCTCGCAAATCTTTCCACCTGTTGAGACATAAAGCAACCAGAGCATAAAGCATTAGGGTATCATCGTCAAAAACGTAGCGCATCACGGCGTGCGCACGGCCCACAGGTGTGTCTCTCGATTCTCGTTGAAACATCGCCAGGCAGGCATCGCCTTGATATAGCTGAGGCGACATGAGCCGCTGGTCAAGAGAGTAAATTATTCAGCCACGTACGTCGTACGAGTCCATCCGTTCAGTTGATTTCCGCCATTCATATTGTCGGCGGTCGGGTGCCTCAAATATACGGCAACTGCAAAGCTTATTCAACCTTGGGCTTGGTGAAAACAAAGTAGGTGGAACTACTTGGGTCTCGTTGGATGCACCATGATGAGGTATGACATCGGCATTTCTCTTGCGCCAATGACTACCATTCCGAGATCAACGTGTCTTGACCAGTTAAGACTGGCGACAGCTTGTGCGTACGCGTCAGCATCGCGAACAACCTAGAGGTGAGTGGATGTCAGCCCGATAGAGCGAAATTTCATATAGACTGTAATTTTGACCGTTGTGACCGTCTGCTCAGACGAATACCGCACGGTTTTAAAACGATAGAATATTGGCTTGTCTTGTCCTTGCAGACTTGGACTTCTGTAGGTATAGCCGATGATTATGCAGTCCTCTCGAGGATCGTCTCGTGCGGTAAAGAAGACGTGGCTGGGCTCGTTAGCCATAGCTAGGGCAGAATGACGCCTGCCGTCTGGTCACTGGGACGCTGGGTTATATGCTGGCCAACAGACCGCTCGAGTCTCTTTTCGGCATCCAGTTGGTGCCGGACACTCAGCATGGGAATGAGAGCCCATCGATGATCGGTTCAGGAGCCTGCGTCTGATAATTATATGTATTTCTGTACTGGCATTCCTGAGAGTATAGGAAAGTGGTGGAGTGCACACTAACCGCACAATAATTTCATTGGGCCGTGGACCGGCTCGACTCTATTTAATAATCAATGCTTGCGCTTCGCCGCCTAATAGCCACGGCGGCTCGCAGAGGATCTTCTGAAAAGGTACGTTCTGAAATTCTATTACATGTCTCCGAGGGCAAGGTTTTGGCGTCTCTCATTCTACATCTATGGAACCATTCACTTGGCTTAGAGCGGCGGCGGCGGGATGTAAACGATCAGGGCAGCTGCGAAACAATTACGCATCCCCTCAAGTGGGAGTGTCATGCTTGATGTGAAACCCTTTGAAAGCGCGGGGTGGGTTATTGTTGGTATCCAGCCCTGACGACTTGGCTTTCCGCAACGCTTCCTGCATCTCGGCGCATAGTCATGCGAGCGAGTACCTCAGCCCGGAAGACATTGAGGTTGATAAAGGTGGCGGGCCATGTGCATTTCCGATATGCACTTAAGGCTTCTGACTACACGGCATAGCATGTGCACCAACAATTGCTTTTTAGGCTCCTACGACGCGAGGGACTTCGGGCTCAGGGCCCGTGTAGAGGCAAGCTGAGGAGCGTTCTCGGGTAAATGTTGTTGGGACAGAGTTCAAAGAGCCTCGTGTGGCCCCCGCACGTTTATTTTCTAGACAATCTGAGATTGCACAGTTATCTGCGGATCATGAAAACCTGCAGGGACTATCTGTTCCGACCGGTCCCTTATCTTCAAACACGTCAAAACCTCGCGGGAGAGCTTGACACAAATCGGTGCAGAACGAAGATCGTCTGGGCGGCCTGTGGTAGAAGGTACAGACATAGCTTTTCCACCGGAGGGGCCAGTGTTTGACGTCTGCCTCGGATTCCGAATCGCCATGACAAGAAAGGACAACGGGGAACAACAGCCGGGAGAACAGTCAAGCCCACACACACGTGAACGCACAGGCCGGCGCGACCCCCAGGGCATCATAATGACCAATTGATACAGCGGGATAGGACAAGGATAGACACTGAACAGTGGACAGACTCTATTGTGTGATAGAGTTCAGGGGGCGCTATCTCGTTCGAAGACTGCGACCTCTTGTCTTGTGACGCACCAGATAGCATCGCCGAGGTCCGCATTACGACTAGACCACTCGGTCAGCGGGTCTTTGCCTGTTGAACCATTATGAACATTACAGCAAAAATATGCGGCACAGGGGCGCAAAACGCAACGACTCACCGGCCCCGTACCTTGACGTGATCATCGAGCTGACTCAGCTGTGAACATGAAGCAGCTTAGAAATGGCGCGTGAAATGCTCGTGAACACAATGTGACCACATACTTACTCTGGGCTACACGGTGCATCGGAATGTGCTCAACGCGTGGGCTTCGGCACATCCATAGCATCCTAGTGTATGAATGAACTGGAGATACTTAAAGGGAATCATCCAAATACGGTCCGATGGATCCAAGCAAGAGCGACTCATCGGGCTTGATTCGGCGTTTCCAAGGAGGTCTGCTCAAGACGACCAAGGAAAAACATACCGCGGATTGATGTCATACATGAGTGATCTTCTCAATGTGAGCGCCGCCATATCACGAAGGAGCAACACAAAAGCGGAGTAAATTTTCCCGTGGTCTACGCATCTACTTATCAGGATCCGAGGATCGGAATCTTCGCTCACTATCCACGTGGGTCAGCAACGGAAGCGAAAGGAGTTGGTACAAACTCACGTGTAAGGCCCCATAGGCAATGCATGCAAAAAAAGTCGTAAAATCTGCCATCAGCACGATACGCCGGCAACTGATTCCACCGGTACCCTCGTAAACGCTGAAGGTATTATAAAAACGTGCCTTCAAACGCCTGGATACGAAGTAAAGTTGTGGGAGATTAAAGTCTCGTAGCTGGATGTCTTCTCATGTCGCTTTACCACGGCTCATCCTCATAGCCATACGACCCTGGAATCCATGCGAATAGAATACATTCGGTGATGGTTGCCTCGATGTGTTTCAATCATGCCGAAGCACCCCAAGGCGGTCATGACTGAGGGCGCGCGGTTAATGCGCTTGGCTCACGCCAGACAGTCCACCTAACTGCTATCAGTCCCGGAATCTTTCCGCTCAGAAAACGTGCCTCACCGTATCACTCGTCAGCGAGTACAAATCGATGACGATGTGCCGCCCCCCGCACAGGAAAATTCGGTGGACTCCACGTCTGCAGGCATCGTGCATGGCCACATAATGCTCCGCTGGGCACAATGCCCGAAAATGCGGACGACGATCTCCTATCGTGCAAGGCCGCAGGTTACAGGCCGGCGGAGACTGAGGATGTAGACAACTGTTGCCGCCCATTTAAATCGTCTATGAGAGAAGTCGGGCAACGTACAGCGGGCCGGAGAGTAGGGACCAGAACAGTCCGGACAAGGCGGAACTTGCATGAAGGAAGCATTATCAGAACCGCTTTCCGGCTCACTAACTGCGAACGTAGCTTCGGACGCGTGGAGACTTACGAGATGAGAGTCAGCTCATTGTACGCGCTGTGAAGCATTCGGTCGAATGGCGTCCGCTACTGATTGCGAGGGGCGCACTAGGTTTGATCGAAGGCAGACACCGCTGCTGCGGCGTGATACAGGGCGTGCGTCACATAAAGAATGCTTCTGCAGGAGATGTGTCTACACACCAGACGGGCAAGCAAACGCGCTTGCTTCATGTCGGCCGAAACAACTTTCTAGTAACAAGGTGCCCGGGATATGAGCCATTAATCTCACACCAGGGTCCTGAAGTTGAGTACTGCCGTAGGAGGGTCTCAACGACCACACATGGGTCTTCATGCTCAATTATCGATTGGAACTATATCAGTCGGTATCAAAGCGGCAAAAACATTGTCCAATTTATTCTGTATTCTGAGGGGAAAATCCGAGCATGAGGGTAAGAACATATTCATGCGAGCAGAGTGCAAGCCTCTCACACTGTACTGTATATCCCTGGTGGCACAACAAACAAGATGGCTAAGATGATGCAAAACGGACTAGACGAACGATAACAGTACGAAAGCTATGGTTGTGTGACACTCAGGAGTTGACCTTCCACAAAGGTCGCTTGCGCAATTTTCTTGTGACGTGTACTGCGCTTCCGCCGAAGTTGCTTCCTCCAAACGCGAGAACAACCGTCTCTTCTGCCCCCTGACCTCCTCGCGCAGTCCCCCGTTTTCTTAGTTCAATGGCGTCTTTTGCGAATTTGAACCGGGCTTGATCGGAACCTGATAGAATTTAAGAATCCACATACAACGTGCCTGAGAACAAAATGCGCACCTATCTGGAATGTCGGGGACTCGACAGCTGTTTTGAAGAGGTCAAACGGCACCCGCGCATACACCTGTAAGAGCGCGTCTCTTCCGGCATCGGACGTTTGTCCGTCTGGGTGTGGCGAGACAGGAGTAGCCTGTCCACCAACGTTGAGCATGTGCGGAAGCGTGACCACCAGGAAATGGAAGACGTCATCCTTAAGTCTTTGCGCATAAGGGCCAAACACAGCCGTCGAAGGCATGGGCTGCTGCTGCTCTATCGGCGTTGACGTCCCGTCAGAGGGAGGAGGCATACAATCCATAAATTCAAGCCAGTTGCCGATATTCGCCATCGTGATAGATTGTCTGCACACTTCATAGGCATAGTTGCAGAGATCATCCATCCGGCCCAGGAGACAGCCTGCTGCTAGAGTGGCTCTGGCATTTTGGGGAGTAATAAGGTTGAGTGAAATAGACGAATATAGGTAACCGAGAGCTTAAAGCGAAATTGCATAAGTAACTGCATCCGGCTGACACGCTGTTTCGAAGCTCACCAATGGAGAAGCCCTGAGTTACCACACACGCGATGAGCACGATGGGCCCATATGACCAGATGCTTACTTACCTCTTGTGTAATTTCTGGTTCATGTTCGAGAGGCACGTAAATGACACATTGTCCGGGCGCTTGTGGTGTTGTAGACATCAGATGAGCAAGAAACGGAGATCGAGAGAGAATGAGTGCATGTAATCGATATGAACTCTGGTATATATGCTAAAGATACGCAAATTTGACAATTAATATACGCCTTTAATTGGGCTTGGGCGTTCACTCACCAATATAGTGTCGTAGTAGTTCTACAAGACAAGACGAGTGTGACAGTCAATTCAGGTATGCCGGACAAAGCTGGAAGACGACGCACACCACTCTGAAATCCCGAATGATACAAATGATTCAATATCTCCTCATTGTGTGATTGATATGATAATGGTCTGCAAGGACGTCAGCACAACGCAAATGAGGTGATCAATATCTGAGACCCGAAAGTCACGCGGAAACAGGAACATGGACCAGGAGGCATGGCATGACGGCAACCCGGCTATAAGGCGAACTCGAGTTCATGGCATCAAGGCCTCAGAGACAACGAGGAGTGCATGTCAAAACACTAAAACAACCGTCGCAAACACCAGCAAAACAGCAAATAACACAAAAGAAAGGCATGCTCTATATCAACAGCTCAACTTACTGAGTATATCCATTTACTGTGGGGACCTCTCCTGTGCTCGAGGAGGATCCCGAATGGTTTGGGTAGAGTCCGTCCTGCCGATGGTCAACCACTCCGACTGACATGCCGTTGCTGGGTCCACCGTGTCCGTTCATTGTAGATAATGGGATCTAAGCCTGCAAGAGAATGGGGGAGAACCTTGGCCGGAGCTGGAAGTTGTGGCGGCGAGGAGGGCGACGAGCGGCGAGCGCGACGGGGCGCAGGGGGAACAACTGAAACGTGACGTGACTGTCACGCGTCATTGTCACAGTTATTTATGGCAATCGCACCAAGCTTGAACTGGCAAGCTGCATCCTCTCCGAATTGTCTCAGTCTGTTCAGACAGTAACGGCGAGAGGAATTAAATGTAAGTAAACAACATTGTCGACACCTTCACTAATCTCCGTGAGACACCGGAAATCCGTTTGAATTCGCTTTCACAGCTTCCGACAGTTCATACGAGTCATTACGTCTCGAGCCTGAGGCCTGATGAGTCGTGCTGGTGAGAGTTGGCCGCTGAGCGCTGAACCATCGCTACCGCTGGACTTTCGCAGCCGCATTGATGGACATGGGGTAATACACATCTCATACTGGGGTATCCGTGCCGTATGCCCCCGTAGCTATACACATTTACGGAGGAGCTTACATACTCTATCATACAAATCATTCGAGGCATGCCTCAATAAACAGCAAGTGATCCATATTTCGTGCTAATAGCAAATGATTAACAAAGGGTCGGCGACCTCTAGGGATGGTACCCGCATACTAGCCGTGCTCACTCGATGAATTGCGCTGTATGACAGTGTCTAGGAATATTTCTTGGGCGCTGTCAGAGATGTAAGTCATGTCTTGATACATGGCCTTGGTCGCTCAGAGTCAAACACGAGTCGGCTCCGAGAAAACCATGATTCGACTCAGTTACGGGTCAGCCGCCTAGCAGGTCCATAAAGCAGACCCAGGATTCGCTTAACATCCCCTACCTGTGTACATTCACATTCTCGCAAACCATGCTTGCCAACTCAACATCCGCCACCCTAGACGTTTTCGTCCACTCTCGATCTCGAATTTTCCCCCGGACACGTCCCGACCAGCCCCAAACTGTGCCGCTAAGCATCGCAGATTCCTCCGTAGTACGGTTCACCACTACCGCGACAGTATTGTTCTACGATGCACAAGGCACAGCCCTATTGCCCGAACAGCTCGAATCTAGTCTGAAAGTCACCCTCGACTCATATCCTCAGTGGGCAGGCCAGCTAGAGTGGGCACCTTACCGTCCGGATGGCGATCACACCGAGCGCGTCGGTCGCGTGAATCTGTCCTACGGCACTCCCTCCGACCCAGGTGTCGAATTAGTCGTCGCGAGCAGTCCCAAACATCTAGCCGAGTTCGTTCCCAGCCCCCTAGAGCGTCGCAGCGGGTCTAAGTGCTGGAACGCAGGGGCAACACCGATTACCACACTCCTTCCGGACACAGATCTACCCCTGCACGACCTCACGAACTTCCGCGGGCTACCAGGACTCATGGTCCAGGCCACCTCCTTCGCCTGCGGCGCGGTCGCCATTGCCGTCAAGATGGCCCACGCGCTGGCGGATGCGCATACCTTGGCACGCTTCACCTCCGACTGGGCGGCCGTCAACCGCGCCATGGTCGCCGGCGCACCTGTGCCCATCCTCAGCCCCGTCTTCGACCCCAGCCTGCTCGACCGCGCCGCGGCAGGCGACATCGACGCCGCAAGCCCCGACACCGTGCTCGTCGAGAGGTCCCGCGCACTGCCCATGCACCGGTACGACTGGTGGACACCAACCACCGACTCTCCGCCGGACATTCCTCCCGGGCTCGAGCCCACAAGCGCAGCCCCGCCGGGCGACCCCATCCCCTTCGCCGACTTCGACACGGGGCCCTCAGCGCACTACCTGCTGCACTTCACCGCGGACGAGGTGCGCCGGATGTGGGAGGAGGCGCGCGGCGCGCGCGCCATCAGCCGCCAGGACGCGCTCTTCGCGCACGTCTGGATGCTCATCAACCGCGCGCGGGGGCTCGAGGCCGACGGCGCGGCGGTGCACCTGAACATCATGCTCGGCATGCGCGCCCGGCTCGCGCCGCCGCTCCCCGTGTCGTTCGTCGGCTCCCCGCTGACCATCGCGCGCGTGTCCATGCCGGCGTGCGAGGCGTCTTCGGGCCTCGGTACCATGGCCGAGCGCATCCGCGCGACGGTCGCGCTGTTCGACGCGCCGGCGCTGGCCGCGCTGCTGCACGACATGGCGCACGACCCCGCGCTCGTGCGCACGTGGCGCGCGTGCCTTGGCCGGCGGAACGTCGTGATCACGTCGTGGGCGCGCCTGGGCATGTACGAGGTGGATTTCGGCTCGGGCGCGTTGCCGCGCTACGTTGAGGCGGTGATCCCGAGTACGGACGGATGTGTCCACATCATGGAGGCGGCGCCCACGGCATCCTCCACAGACGGAGGACGGTTGAAACATTGGTGCGATGACGGCGTGGACGTGTCGCTGTATATTGCGGCGGATGTCGCAGAAAGGGTACTGAGGGATCCAATGCTACGACAGTACAGCGACAGATAACGGCGGACGGTGGTGTCAGGGCTCCGTGGGTTCGCTGCAGCCGTTATCTGCAGACAGAACCTTGGACTGGTTAGATTATACAGGCTCATTAGATGCTTCAGATACCTTAGATAGAGTTAACCGCTTTGGATCCACGAGCTATTAGAGGCTTTGGGTATAACCTACGCAATCCTAGTCACGATTCAGCTATTAAGGCTACCTTGGAATGTTTCGCCAAAGACGAGAGCAGTCGCGGTAGCTGTACTGATTGAACGATTACGACGGCTCCGGCCAAAACACTGTCTTTCCCCATCCTCCACGGTCGGCGTCTCATCTGCCATCAACGCGACCCTGCACGAGAATCGTGAAGCACGGGCCTGTCCGTCCAGACGGACACCCTGGGCCACCATATGAGGTTAGACTGCACAAGACATCGATCGAACCAAATCCCCGCACCAGGATCCTGTCCAAGGCTGCGGCACTTCCAATCACTGTTCATGCCAGAGCCACAGCTCGCGCTCCGGTAATCCAATACACAAATTGTGCCATGTCCATCACCTCGCCGAACGCGGTTTCGCCCTCCGTCCGATCTTCTGCCCCCGCTCTATCCGAGACCGCTGGGAGGCTGCAAGACGCCATTGGTGGCAGACGCATGGCAACATAGCGGTCCATCAGGTTGTGTACAACGCCTGTCTCTCGTGCCCTGCACCCGGAGATCGGCGGATACGTCGGAGGGGGAGAGCTGTATCCCGAGTGTGGATGCGCCGCATCGGCCAACTAGCGCGGCCGATATGAACGTGCGAGCGCGCGCGAGCCCGACCTGTGTGTTCAGAAACACCAGCACGGGGAAGAGGCGTGGGCACGACAGACCATGTGGGAGCGATCGGAAGCAAAGTGGTCCAGGTATGCCGCAGCAGGGACCACTCTGAACAAGCTGGGTGTGCGGGCGAGGACGCCGAGGTTCGCCCGGTCAGACGCCCCACAACGCGAAATGGCGGTGTGTCCCTCACCTGCGGTAGCTTTCGCTGACATGCGCGGACGGCGTCGTGTCAAACGCGTACGGGAACGTTCCGACAAGGTAGTCTGCGCGGCATCCGCCAAGCCAGGAGCGTATCAGGTGGTGATAGGCACGGGCGCGTCTGCGCTGCAGCGGGGGTCGAGACGCACCTGTGCAGCGGCAGGGAATGGGCAGGCGGGTGTCGAAGTCGTACACCCAGGCCTCGCCCTCCCAACTCGCGCTCTCACTGCCAGCGCTCGGCTCCGGGTCTTCAGGTCGGAATTGAGTGTGTGCGCGAAGGCGAAGGACGAGAACGACATGGTAGTCCCAGATGACCACGTCTTCGTGGGCCTTCTGGTTCCACAGTGCGACCTGTTCGACGACCAGGCTGCAGATCAGAATGTGCGGCGAGGAGAGTGTGAGTGGAAACTGCGCGCACGGACCGTTTTGCCGACGTTCGAGATAAAGAGGACATGGAGGCTCCAGGGCCAGCGGTCGTCTGCTGCTGCACGTTCGTGAAAGGTCTGTGCGAGGAGATAGATGTTCTCCTCGCAGTAGCAACTCGTGTAAACGCTATCAGCCGGCAAAGATGGGGGTGCAGCCCGAGGAAAAACAGTGCACGCGCGAGCGCAATTTATAGACTGAGACATTGCGTCGGCGAGGAGTCGAGGACAACCCGGGAGACTGATGGCTATATATCACAAATCAGAGCAAACGAGCATTATGGCCACAATGAAGAAGAAATACAGCACTGGCACGCGCGAGTAATTAATAAGTAAGGCGCAGGCGCAGGCGCATGACGAGAGAGAAGTGTGAGAAAGCCACAAACTCGACCGAGACCACAGCGATCACCAGATTACCCTATTTGCCAATATCCTACAACAACGTCCCTCGCGATAACCATCGAGCACAGCAGCCTCTGCGCATGCGTCCTCCAGCACACGGCGAACCAAGCCCCTCACGTCCGGCAGCCCCGGCGCGTCTGGTATATATTCGTTAGATCATGAGCTGCGCGCGTCTGGTCAGCCGGGACGGCGGTCGACGAAGGAGGGGAGCGTGCATACAGTGGGTATGGAGCGTGGAGACGGGCATGGAGAGACAGCATCATCGCGTCTGTGACGGCGGCAGAGGCACCTGCGCCTGGTCGATGCTCCACGTCGCCTTGTTCGCGAACGCGTCCGAGACCTTCTTCTTCAGCAGTATGTCGTCGAGCTCTGGCGAGGAGCGCTCTTGCCGGAACGGGACGAATATCGGCCGCGGGCCATTCGAGCTCGACTTTGAGCTCGGCTTCGAGGGCCGCTTGGGCTGAGGTGCGTGGAACGGCGGTGCGGAGAGGTTCGACAGTTGTCCCTGCGTCAGGGTGTGCATCGAGCCCGCCGTCCGCAGGTCAATGGGCGGCGGAATAGGGTGAGGGAACTGCGACGGTGGTGCAGGCTTCGGGAGGAGGCCAGAATTGTTCGTGAACGGATGAGTCGCGAGTGGGTCGAAGGAGGGAAGGGTGGAGTGAGACATTGAGAGGGATGAGGCGCACGGTATGTATGAAACGATGAGAGGACGCGATGGGGGTGTTGGGATGGAGAAACAAGGGGCGGGCGGAGGCCCAGGTTAATATATAGACGAGGAGAGGCGGCCATGGAAATTGTGGCGGGGCGGAATGAGGGCCCGGGGGATTAGCGGGAGGCAACAAGCCTGGGTCACATGTTTTCGCGTCCCTGTTCCGAGCCACAGTCTCGCGGACTCGGAAGACAAAACGTCTCTCTCGACCTCGCCCGATTTCAGCCGGGACGAGCACTTTGTTCGCGTGACCCGAACTAGTTTCATGGCAACCTCGACAATACAGGAAGCTTGTACGCCATCTCTCCGATCGTGAACAGTCACCCGTTCAGCAAGGTCCTTGCCCAACATTCCGTACTTTACGTGTGCCTTATGATATCTCATAGTCATACATTCTTCCTACAGTGTCCGCGAACGCCAACGAACACCTTGCCAGGCGCACGACGCACATGTGGTCGCGCAGCGACGGACGCCGTCAGCGGCGAACTAGCCAGCGGGCTCGCGTACTACCGCCTGTCTAAAGCGATGATCAGTTCCAGCCGAGTCGATGATATAAAATCACGTACCCCACACAGATGTTCCCCGCAAAAATTCGAGGTCGTTTCACGTTTCCGGTTGGATCTATCGTGTAGACCGCCCGCGATCCACGGTCATGGGTCAAAATGCTACACGGTGCCCATCCGATGGCGGACATGAACAACGGCGCGACAGCCGCAGCCGCCCACAGCTTGAATATTAGGGTACGTTGACATCTCCATCTCTCACGATCTGCGCCTCAAGATGCAGCCTTGGAACGCCGGGAGGACACCTGCAGGATGGCTTCGAAATGGATGTGAGTAAAGTTACGATATCTCCGGCTGATACGGGCGCGTCAGGTGCTTGGGAAGCAGTATTCCTGGCAGCCCACGGACGGAACTCGAGAGAGTACTTACGTCCGTTTGTTCATCTTGTGTGATGAACACATGCAAACATGACCGAGCATAGTATGACAAAGTGGAAGACAGACGATGCGGCGTATCTTCAGACTAGTATGGTTGACCCGAACAACAGCGGATGCCCGGCGATTGCAAGCGGTTCCCAGTATGGGCGCCCTCAACCTCACAGGCTGCGCTCACTTACTGCCGATAGCAGCGACCCTGAATACGTATCTCATCGCGCAGGTGGCCCACCTCCATGCTTCTCCTCTAGACGATGGCAGATGATACAGCTCCCTTTTTCATCTCCCAGAGGCACCACATAGCCGAAGCAACCCCAGCGAGGAGTAGGTGGATGTTGGAGTAGAGAAATTAGGGTCTGCAGGCCAAAAAGCCTATTCGCCCCAATCATGTGTGGATGGCAGTGGAAACCGCGATGCTTCCAAGAGATCCCGCCATCTTCCCATCGGAACGCCGGAATGCGTGGCGAGCCACATCAGCGGAAGCCCGCAGACAGCGATAGATCCTGGCGATGCATACCGGAGGGAATGGCAAGGCGTCCGACCGCGAGCAGCAAGCGACAGTCGCAATGACGAAACCAGCGCAGATCTATCAGCTCAACCTTTTGAGGGTAGCGTGCCGTTGACATCATGCGCACGTCCAGAACACCCACGGGGCGCACGCGACACCGGGTCGTGAGCCAGATGGATGAATTTCGGTCGAAGATCTGGGTCCGCGAGCTTGCATTGAATGGCAGAATCGAGCGTCGCCAGAAATATGCCAGAGACAGGAACTGGTCGCGCGAGCTGGCCTTGTAGCAGTCGTGTCAGATTCCTCGGCGGCCTCCACTCCCTTATGTTCTGGTCGAAAGTACCATTTTTCAGTCGAATGTCAGACTCTGTGAAGTGCTTTCCAGACTTGCCGGAACAGTGGATTGAGGGAGTCAGATGGGTCCAAGATAAGATATGATTTGCCTCTCATAGAAAGAGATAACATGCATGCGTTTTCAAAGCGAGATAAACTTGCAGTATGAAGGTGAAATCTGTAGGCTACATCCAGAGGCAGCTCAAGTATAATGGCAAAGGAGAGAAGAAAACAAAGGAAATTCGAAACGAAAGCGCCAACCTTGAGGATTGAATATTCAGAAGGCCCCCGCAACAATTTAGCACGTGATTCAAGCGCCCATTGTCTTTTCAGAAATTTTGGTGAACGGTGAACTCGCGACTGAGTGCGGCATGCACAATGTCGACCACTCTCCCTCTCTTCTGGGACCTCTCATCTTCCTCCAAGCCAGCTCGTATCGATGCCTCGGTGAAGCTGGTCTCTGCTCTTGAGCACTTTCAGGCGCAATTCGTGCCCAAGGCGTCACCGGAAACGTCTGACGATGAAGACGAAGACGAGGAATCCAAGGACCACAGTTTGGATAACCTCAATGCGCAAGATGTCTCGTACTCAATACGGAGACTTGTACGCGGCCTGGCAAGTCCGCGAGAAAGCAGCAGACTTGGGTTCGCCGTTGCATTGACGGAGGTCAGTCCGCTGGTCTTCACACTCCTTGTGCGTATCACATCTCTACGGCATGCAGCTCTTGTCGCGAATAAATACGGTGTCGTGCGCGCAAATTATCACCTTGATATACGACTCGTCCAGAATGCAAGGCTCGATGTCTGGCCAGGAGGAACGGGACATGCATTTTGCACGTCTGTTCGGCCTCACGGCTGTCATCCAGTCAGGTCTCCTACTACGGGACACGCCACTTCCCACCTCCGCGTCTTCTGCTACCCTTGCTTCAAGTCTCTCTAGCTATACCGATGTTCTGGCGAACCTCCTAGCTCTCGCCGAGAAGAAGTCCTGGCTGCGCGAGAGCGCCTGGTGGACAGTTGGCCTTGCCGTTGATGCACTCAACAGCTGCGATGTCCCTTGGAAGGAGGATGCCATCGAAGCCACCATCAATATCATTTGCGTGCAAAGCAAGGGCTGGACTCCGGAGAAGCTAGCCTTGACAGCAAAACTGCAAAGCCAATATCCGTCCCGGGACTGGCGGAAGTTGCTGTCTCCTACATTCAAGCATCCTGACCTACTGAGCACCGGAAATCTCTCAACAATTGCTCGTGTCCTGAAGGTTTGAACTATCCTTTCTTTTGGAACCGGGAAGCCGAAGATGCAACTGACGTGATACAGGAATCTAACCCTGATGACGATGAGGAAACAGATGTTCCCAAATCGGGCGCTTGGCGACCTCAGGTTCATTTTGTATGGGACATTTTGCTTGACGGCGTTCTCGCAGACCCTTCATCTGGCCCCGCCGTCAAGGGTTCATTCCCGGAGTTCTTCCGGATTGTTGTCGATGGTGCGGCCCATTCAGTCAGATCGTGGTCTCGATGCGACTCACTACCGAGCAATAGAATCTCTATTTGCCTCTACATCATCGCCCCAGCGGAAGTATTGGGGTTTCCAAGTATTCCAGAAGGCGCTTCCCCGTGTCAGTTCCGCCGACATGCCCATGCTCTTCACCAAAAATTTCATGCGTTCCTGGATCAACCATCTCTCGAACAGTGACCGATATCTGCACAAGGCCGCTAAGCAAGTGGTGAGTCTAACCACCTATAGCCGGGCTAGCTCTTCAGCTCACAGTGCGCAGGCTACTGACGTGCAAGCTATCGTAAAAAATAATCCCACGCTCGGGTTCACCTTAATCTTGCAGCTGACCGGCGTTCATGGAAGTAGACAATTTGACAAGCTCACAAAGACCAAAACGGTCGAGTCGATCCTGACGTCAATGGATAATGCTGGGATCCAGAACTATATAGACTACCTGCTCAAGCAAGCGAACGACGAGCAAAGCTCAGACTCGTATGTGCCTCGCAACTTGAGCCCTTGCCCTGCTTCATTGCACGTTTATAGGGATGCGCAGACAACGAATGCGCGGCGTGCATGGATCATCGACCAGCTTGCTGCACTCGTTCGCAACGGGGCCATCCCGAAAAGCGACGATTGGGTACAGTCGATCTTGGATTGGTTTGTCGTGCACGGTTTGTTCCTCATTGTCAAGTCGTCGGAGAAGAATCCTATCGGAGCTGTACGCATCACCTATTAACGGCTTCGCTCCTATATTGACATCTTCTGTCCAAGTTGCGCACTCTGTCCTCCCCTCCTTTTTCTGACGAGCTTGCGAAGAGCTGTCGGGAACGCCTCTTAAGCTGTCTGGCGGAGCTCACGGGTCAGGCTACTGTTGTCAGCGGCGGTGCGCGTCATACCGTGAACGTCACCTTGACTATTCGCTGATGCTGCGCCCATAGGTGATAAGGCGGTGAAAGTACCCGCTGTAGCATCTGATGGAGAGTTCTGGATTCAACGGGTGCTATGTACTATTGGGGAGCTAGAGAAGGACACGAAGCATGTTCGTACGCTAGATGACGTCGACGAGGAGCAACAGCAGTTGCGTATCAAAGCTCGTCAGACTGTCGAGCGGCTCAGGAAGGTAGAATTTCCCGAATTACGCCCGTGGCATCGGGTTCTGAATGCTGGAGTATGTGCTAGGTGCCAGATGACCAAAGAGAGGCTGCGAAGGGCGCTGAACTCTTGCTGTCGGCCACTCTTTTACACCATTACTGCGCTGACGATGAAGCCGACCCGGAGAGTCTAGAGGTCAGTCATCGTTTACCCTCCACACACAACCCCATTTTCATTTTTCGAATGTAGAGCTGCATTGACGGCGCTTCCCGTATGTTCCCTGTGGAAAGCCAGAAGAGCAAAAAGAAATCTCGCAAATCTGCGGGTGGCTCGGAGGGGCCCACTGAAGCCGAAGCATTAGAGCCGGTGGACGTGCTTGTGGACAACGTGATTGGGTTCCTTGAGCAGGCGACTGCTTACATGCGCTCGGTGGCCAATCAGGTGTTCTCTATGCTGTCCGGCTCTGTGCGGGAGAGCACGGTCGACCTCATACTGACGGTACAAATTTTTGTGTTGCAAGAGCTCATTCGATAAGTCTCATTTTGTTTCTCCCCCAGCAACTGGAACGGAGGGATCCCGCCGAGCTCCGGGCCGATGAGGACGAGGACGAGGATGAAGATGAAGGCATGGGAGGTGGGGAGGGCGCGTCAGACGACGAGAGTGAAGAAGAAAGTGGAAAGGACGAGTCGTCCGACGAAGAGGAAGAAGAGGAAGATATGGACGAGGCTGAGGCTTTAGAACTTAGGAGAAAGATTGAGGAAGCCTTGCGTATAAACGGAGTCGAGGCGGCGACTGGTGATACGGATGATGAATCTGAAGAGGAGTTGATGGACGACGAGCAGATGCTTGCTATCGACGAACAACTGGCTGCGGCATTCCGCGCGCGGACCACTGACAGGAAACTTGGGAAAGGTGTGTTGACATGTGTCTGCATTCTGCGTTATTAACACCATTTTTGTCAGACATTGACGCGCAACGGGAGGCTACCCATTTCAAAAATCGAGTACTAGATCTTGTCGACATTTTCATCAAGAAGCAGGTCACAAATCCCTTGGCGTTGCGGCTGATCTTGCCCCTGGCAGATTTAATCGTGAACACAGGTCCCGACGAGAAGCAGCTGGCTGACAAGGCAACGGGCATTCTTCGATCACGCATAGGGAAAGCAAAAGAGCTCCCGTCTGGCGTGGACAAGGCGTATGCCGCACAGGTGCTCGAGGAACTACATTCCCGTGCACGCAGAACACCCTCGTCCGATGTCCTCGCGACATTGAGCCAATGCAGCTGGTTCTTGAGCAAGGTGCTTCAGCATCAGGACGTGACAGAGCCAATTCTGAAAGCATATCGAGAATCGCTGCTTGACTTTGTGTCGCGCAAGGCTTCGAAATTGAACGGTGTCTTCTTCCAGGACTTTGTGCGTCGACACACCGACGTGGCGTGGGGTCTCCGGGACGATCTATCGGAAGCACCCGGGAAAGCAGTCAATGTGTACCGGCAGGTCCAGGCTTATCAAATACTGAACACCCTGATCAATCGGTTTTCTGTCACTGTATGTGTCTCCGTATATCTTGTGCAACCGTGACATTGACTATCTTGGTAGGACGAGCATCGCAATGACTTCCTTGCTTGCATCTCTCAACTGTGCCGCACACTGCACGCAACAATATCTGGCGCCTGCGACCCTTCGTCAACGCACACGCCTGCCAACCTCAAAGAACTTCTAAAGGTCGGGCTGACCGTAGTGCGCCAGGCGAAGCGTGTCTCATCATCGCCTGGGGAGTTGAAGTCTATTTGGGAGCCATCCGAGTGGGCCAATCTTGCAGGGAAACTGGCTGAGACCGATCGATTCAGATCATCGACTGGATTGCAAACGATGTGCAAGCAGATCGCCCAGATGGCGGGCGGAGAGTCGACGTCGGAGAAAAAGAAAAAGGGCGATAAGGCGTCCGACGACGTCACTGGGTCAAAACGGAAGGCTGGCGCACTGGTCGATGGCGAAGCTCCAGTGACAGAAAAAGCGAAACGCAAAAAGGTAAAGAAAGCGTAGATGTGTATCACGACTTTATACCGAGTGGTGTTACGTGGGCAAGTTCACTTGATATCTTTCGTTGTATATCCATGAAGGTTGTTGGTAGTATCCCTCGTTGCAATCTAGTGCTCTCGCTCACCGTCCACTTGTCGGAAATATCACAATAGGAACAATAGTTTCTTAAGTTTTCAAGCTTTAGGGTCATCACTGTCTTTCGGTCGTCAGTCTATTAGGCAATGTAAACGGATCGTTGCAACCTGGTGAATATATGTGCTGTGGAACAGCACGACTCCGTCATACAGCACCGCATGAATTAATTGACATATCATATCGACGTGTCCACGGGCGCAAAACATCATTGTCAGGCACAGGCTGAAGATACCCGGAACCTTTCGAATTCTCCATTCCCATCCAACGCATGTCGCGCGAGTGAGAATAAACCGAAGCAACTACAAATTTTTATTACATTCCAACCCTCACTAATTCTGAACCCAGCGTACCCCATTGTATACGCCCCGATACTCCCGCGCCACCAACGCTCACTCTGGATTCAGCGGCGGGATCGCCCCCCGCCGCCCCTTCACCGGCCACACCTCCTCCATCGTCTCCGCATCCCACAGCCGACCGCCGCGCGCAACGTAGCGGATCGCCCTCGACCCCCGAATGTCGCCCTCGAGCAGGTCTACCCCCGGCTTGTACACGACAAAGTCCGCGAGCTTCCCCGGCGTCAGCGAGCCCACGGAGGAGTCGATGCCGAGCGTAATCGCCGCGTCAGAGGTCGCCGCGCGAATGACCTGGCGGGGCGGACAAATTAATGATGGTCAGCGGCGCACAAAAGGGCAGGGCGTACTTCGTAGTTGGTCAGGCCCCCCTGTTGCGTGAAGAACATTTCTGAGTGGTAGTTCAGACCCAGCGGGGGCTCCCCGTGCGCGCCGATGTGCGCACGGAGACCCTTGTGGACCATCTTGGCCGTGGACGCGGACGTGTTGAACAGGGCAAAAGCTGCGGGCAGTCAGTGGAGTCTCAAAGGGAAGAGGGACAACGTACATGTTTTCGGCCGTGACGTCGTTTCGGACAGCCGTTCGAGCACGTCATGGCGCGTGAAACGCCGCAATCTCGGGGCGGGTCAATGCAGGCTGCGGTCAGGTAGGTGGGGGACGCACTTTGGATCATTCGGGATGTCCTCGGACGCCCAGATGTACTGTTCTCCCATCGTACCGCCATAATTGACGATGTGCGTAGGCGTAGAGCCGGTTCCGCTCAACGCGTACAGTGTTATGATGTCGTCGTAGAGGACGGGAATGGGGAGAGGGTGCTCGATCGTTGTCATGCCTGAGGAAGAATGATCAAACACACCGTCGTCATAATGTGGAAGCACTTACCATCGACGATGTAAGTGAGGTCCCAGTCGTAGTTCATGCCCTGCGATGATCTCAACTTGAATGCACATGGAGAATACATGAATGCTACTTACTCCCTCCGGGACACAGAGCATACTTAACTCGCGAGCAGCTGTCAGCAGTCTCTGCCGCGAGGCGCTGAACAAACGTGAGCGAGGAAACTGCACTAAGACGTGACGCCGTACCGAGAAGGAAGATTGTAGTTCTTGTAGGAGAAACTAGATGGCCCACCCTCAGCCTTGATCCTGATGAGTGTAGAGCGTGCCTCTGCCATGTCGGCGATGTCATGGTACAAGCTAGGCTCAGCTGCCCCGTAGATGACACCTCCAACTTGGAAAATGCGCGGGCCGACGAGCTGGCCACGCTCGATACGGAACCGTTCTGCGAACGCGAGTACATTATCCGCGCTAGGGCTGCAAGACGGATTCATAAAATAGACGAGGACGAAAGAAAAATGCTTACTTGTGCAGCGTCGTCACGCCATAGGCGAGGAACGTCTCCATCTCCCACGAACGCGCGGGATACAAGGTGTCATATCCGTTCCAGTGTGCATGGACATCTATGAATCCAGGGACCACGAACGCTGCGGAGTATCGACGATCATAAGCACCCGGGAGACGAGGTAAGATGCCCAGACTCACCTCCTTCGACATCGATGACAGTGGCGCCCTGCGGGAACACAGCATCCTGGGCGCCTACGATGGCCTCGATTTCTCCACCGCGCGAGACAAGGATGGCGTCATGCAGAATATCTGAATGGAAGTCTCCAGTCTCCATCGTCAACAACGTCGCGTTAGAGATGATAAAGAAGTCAGTGCCGATTGGAGCCTCCTCGTCGCTGTTGGCCTGGAATGCGGATGCAGCCTCTTGCTTGAGCCGCGCAACGTCAGACGTGTACCTCACAACGACCTCCTGGAACTGGGGTATGTGTTTTGCGCACTCAATGCCGAATGTCTCAGAGTCGCGCTCAGCAGCTAAGCTGCATGCGCTTAACTTCGACACGTCGACCCAGTGAAGGTACGGTCCTACACAAAAAATGAGTACCAATGCACAAGTAGCAACTTATGACGCGTACCGAGGAGCCAGAATAGCTTCGTTCCATCTCTGCTCCATGTAATGTCATGTCCTCCGTCGACGCTCAGTCGCACAAGACCTTTTGTGGCATTCCCGGGCTTGCTCCATACGGGCTCTTCGCTGTTGGGATGGGGTACGTAGTACACATGGTAAAAGTCCACAAACGCAAGCGATTTTGCCACAACAGTATCCGAAACACGGGGGACAGTGGCCAGCTCCTTGGACATAAGCCCCGTCGCAATCGTCTCATGTTTATAGTCGCCAAACTCATCCGGCCCCGCTGCTAGGTCAATCACAAATGCGCGCCCGGGAGACTGCACGAGCAGTTTCGTGTTGCGCTCGAGGAAGCGGACTTGCGTCTTGAGCAATTGATCTTCATCAATCTCCGTCAGGACATAGTGCACGTTCTTCACTACAATCTCTGTAGACGCTTGACCCGACGAAGGCAGAGTGATCTGGCCGAGATACAGCCCCGGCTTCGCGGTCGCGACGATGTCGCCCGTCAGGTAGTCTCCACCCGTCTTGATGAACGCAAGCTGCCTCTGTATCCCTGTGCATTCACATAATATAGGGGAGTAGTACCTCCCTAACGGCAAGCCTGCGAGCTCGTAGGCTTCCCCGGACGTCAAGTTGGCCAGCTCGATCGTCGTAAAGTCGGCGTCTGACCAGCGCGCATGAATGACGAGTTCTTCCGCATTAACAACGAAAGATGGCGAATAATACGGTGCGTCAGCATGCAGCGCCGGCACCCTATATGCATGCGGCGTGTCGTGCCCTACTTCCTGTACATACGTGGCGCCCGCTGCTTGGAATACTGCTCGGGTGCCCGTAGTATCAACGCGGAGCTCGGTAAATGCATAAACACGCTGCGTGGAAGCGGTTTCCAGTGGTCGAATATCCACCTGGGCCATCGCTGTCCGTGCCAGGCGCTTCTCAATATGCGCGAGGAAGCGCACGGGCTGCGGCTCGCCAGCCGCAACCTTCTCTCCAAAAGCATTCGTTGTCAGGGGTATGTGGTAAATTTGTCCAGCAGCCCAGATGATGACGGCATCGTCTGTAGGGGAGAATGCGAATGACGGATATGTTCCCATAGGGGCAGAAATGACTCCTAGGTCATATGTAAGACCGTACCAGATGTGATGAATAGTTCCGGTCTCCAGATCCCTTGATAGTATCAGTCAGTAGAAGTGGCATAAGATGCTGTGATGAAAGCACGCACTTGAACACCAAAGCCTCTTTGTCACGCACTCGCCGCACAAATGCTAGAGTACGGCCGTCTCGTGAAAGTTCTGGTCGAGTCGCTCCACCAGGAAACGCGTCCACGAGGGTTGTCGTCCTCTGAGAGGTGAGATTTGTGGAGAAAATCGCGTAGACCCCCATGTGAACATCTGCAAAACGCGTCTGTCATGTTGTAGCCACTTGCATTTAACGCGAGAGCATACCTTTGCTGTATGAAAACGCGCCATCGCGGTCTCCAACATTTTTCGAGTAAATGAGGGTGTCTTGTCCATGCCATACAAACTGCTCAGGACCGATTTGTTGATCACCGTACTGTTCGGGACCCCATCCCGTAGGAAGAGTCCGAGCCACGAGGCGTTGACCATCGCCCGGTTTGATATGTGTACCCGCAGATTCTACACTGGGAACTTTGTACTCCCATCCCTCACCGGCTCCCAAGCTGCGCGAAGACGTATACCATTTTGTCGCTATGACACTAGAACCGGATGGATGGAAACGCGCGTCAGAAACCCAACGATATGTCTCGTTTGTCACTCGCTGAGCTGAAGAGACGGTCACGCATATATGCGATGGGCAACCAAAGAAGACGTACCACCCAAACGGCCCTCGCGCACAAGGCGACGCTGCCTCCTATCAGCAGTCTCTTGGACACCGCTAGCAAGCAGTTCTTCCTCTACATCCTTTAGCTCCAGTGCGTCCAGCAATTCGTCGTTGAGATCTCCCGACCTGACGTCCATGTTCTCGCAGCCTTTCCACTCCAGCACCCAGATGTTCTCAATGCCTAGCTCGGCGTCGCTTCGGAACACAATGCGGTCACCATCCGGGGAGAAGTGCGGGTCAGAGTCGTGCGGGACTCCGAGTAAGAACGGGCGGGCAAGCGAGAGAGCGCCAGACGCGAGGTGTGAGGGAGAGTAGGCGTGCGACGGCAGGCAGTACAAATCGCCGAGCATGTCAAAAACAATCTCGCCCGTCTTTGGGTGGACATCAAGCCTCAGCCAGGTGCCCTCGGTCACATCGTACTCAAGCAGACGTGGATATGGGTAGTCGGTAGAAATGTCCCAAGGGGTCTGGTTATGAATCGGCCAGATATCGTCCTTCCACTGACTGCTGGGGTCCGCAAGAGCAACAGGTACAGAAGTTGCTTGTAACTGCTCGTAGTTCTGCGCAAAGAGTGCCGAAATACTTGACGAAAAGGTGGACAGCGCGGCCGCTGAGACAAAGAGCAGGACTGCTTGCATCATGCGCGTTTTTCTAGGACGTGGGAGAGACGACTCAGAGCCTAGCCAACCAAGCTGGCCAGGCGAGACTTGGAGATGTGTTTTCTCCATGTCGTAGTCCCCAGCGACAAGCACGGTCTATTGTAAGCGTTCCTTCAGGTTGCGTAAGAGCGACGAAGGGCTGAGTGTCAAGGTATATGCATCTGATAACATTCAGAAACTTACCTGTTCAACGTCGTCCCAGAAATGGGTGAGACGCTGAAGGTTTTGAAGGGCAGTCCTCGAGCCCTGTCTACCTTTAAGCTCAGAGTCGAAGGCTGCAGTGTGAGAATGGATTAGCGAGAGGCGCCCATTTCGAATATAAAGCACATGGCAGATGCTCATTGGAGGACCCCTGATACCATCCCTTACAGTCCGATCGGCGGTCACGAAATGTCGCGAGAGGCCAAGCGTGCCGAGCTTTGCCGAGTTTGTGCTCCGCCCAAGTCACTACAAATGTAATCATGACTACAGCATAAGGATCAAGGTTTCTAGCTCAGCTATGACACGACTCAGCGGAGCGACAAAGGAGACTCAGAGGTCTCGTCACGCCAAAATGTGTCTCAAAGACGATCTCAACAACCAATCATCGGATTTTCGTCGTTCAACCTCAAAATCGTAGTTATGAAAGTCGAACTACCCCGCACCAAAAACTGAGCCCCATACGACCAAAGTGCCGAATGAGGCTGATCGGATGGTAAGGGATGGTAGTGAGGGGGCCATCAGGGATCCTCATCCAAACAAAAATTGGCACTGGAGAGAGCTGATTTTATCCGGCAAGAGTGAGTGTAAAACCGATGCTTGGTCAGACCGTAGACGCCAGTCCGAGCTGGGTCCGCCAGTGCCTGCAGATGTCTGATCCGACATCTGATGCCGTTGCTGTGTAGAATCGTAGACGATCTTGGACAAAAGTTGCGGCCTGTCCTAAACGAGAAGTACAGCAAGGCATTCTTCGATTTCTTCGGGTTAAAACTCAGTGGGCATTTTCAATATTCAGGGTTGGCGAGGGTATTATATGTGAGTGTCGCGAACCGTTGCTATGCAGGCCAATCTATTCACACAGAATGATTCAGTTCTTTCGATCTTGGTAGACCGTAAGTACAGGGCCACAGGGCAAATCTTCCCAATCCAATTTCAGGCTGCTAGATCGCTGAGTACGTTTTAAACAGTAGTGAAGGCACGACTTTTGGCACGATTCTCGGCGAGAAGTAAATTCTATTGCGGTCATACAAGCGAGAAGGGAGCGTGGATGATGGCGAAGTTTGTATGCTAACTTATGGCAGTTGTAAGAGTTGTGTCGCATCACACATTACCAATATAGGGAGCTTATGGCTCATCTTCACAGTCTGCTGTCTCATCTGCGGATGAATTGTCTCTATTCTTCTTAGCCTTCTTCTTTCTCCGTCGCTGCCTCTCATGCTGAAGTGCTTTCTTCATTTCCTGCTTGGACAGTCCGGGGTTATAATACGCGTCCAGCTAGCAAACGTGAGCAGAACTGCTGACCGCCGACGGCCAGATTTACCTTATCCAAAAGCACACGCCTTGCAAGCTTTCTGTTCTGAGACAGTGAGCGAGTCTCCTGACAAGCTACCCGGATCCCCGTGGGCTTGTGAAGCAACTGAACGTTGTTCTCTGTTTTATTGATAGACTGCCCGCCGGGCCCACTACCTATACATCGAAGCGGTTGACAGCTGCAACCGACGCAATCGTCTATATAGTGCATACCTCGAACAAACGACTCCTCCAAATCCACTTCCTTCAGCTGAGGAACAACGCGTTGTTTGTGTGCTTTTTTGAGCTGAGAATAGTATCGAGGCACTTCGGGACTATGAGAGCTGGTCCTGGCAGCATCTGTGGAACTAGTGAGACATGAGGATGGAGATTATATGCGAAGAAAATGGAAGTGAGTGGGGAGACTGGGCGCGGCACTAACCTTCCTCGCTTCCTGACACTTCGACTCGACTCCACAGGTGAAGGGTTCTTGATGGTGTCGTTGTCACCGAGTTCTGTATGTTCTGTAATACGCATCTCTGGTATTGGGTTTCTTGTGTAAGATCTATCTTGCGAAGGGAGAAGGATAACGCACTGAACCGCTCAATGGCTTCGGGACCGTCTGTGCTTTCCACCTTTACTGCCTGCACAACATTTTTCCGCAGGACATCTGCAATCTCTTTAGTGAGTCTGATCTTCTCTTCACATTGTTTCGGATCAGCTGGCGGCGGATACGTCAGCACTTCGTTGCGTATCTTCAGGCGGAACGCTGGTGTAATCTGTGAGTCGCACTGGATATTGTAGGAGGCGGACACGCACCAGTTCTAACATGAAGGTCGCCTGTAAAAGTAGATGCAGATGCGCGAAGGACATCACGGTAGGCAGCCCTCGCAGATGCCAGCAGAGACGGGGGCACGGACATGCTGGTTCACTGCCGGCGAAGGCGTGGCTATCGGGCGCTTGACGCTCGCCCAGCCACGGGTGAGGACGCATCTGCACGTGATGTGCTTCGCGAGATCTACACGAGATCCGGCGCGAGACGCGTTCCATATATGGCTATTGCTGTCGAATGCGTCTTGCTGAAGACGTCGCCTTGAGCGAATTGTCCAGGCACAGACTTGGGCGGTATTTCTCTCAAAAAATGCGGGCAGTGTCAGAAACGCAGTTCTCCTTCGCCTCGTGTAATTTTGATACAGAATATATGAATTTACGCGAAGAAAACCGTGCGCGAACACCACGTATGCGCTCAATCGACATTGGCGGCGTCCAGCGCACCTTCTGACCACCAAAACTACGTACTCGACCCCCATCCACCGTCCCCCTGGCTACTATACATTTTAGAGGTCTGCGGTGGGTACTAAAGGATGCTGAGGGCCAGTTCCTGAGATTTAGCCTCACGTGACACGCGATTACAGTTTGTTGAATGGACGGGACGCGCCTCGGAGTCTGAACAACCTCTCTTCCACCCGTACCACCACCATCCCCTGCCCCTCTGCATTCCAAGCTTTGGCCAGCCTTCCTCCTATACTGCTCACTTTAGCCTTCAATCTTCAACCACTATCCACTAGTTAAACACTTCACAGCAACAATGTCTATAGCTAAGAAGTCCGCGACTGCCAAAGCGGCTGCCTCCAAGAAAGTTACTGCTCGTGCGGCCCCCACTCACCCTCCTTGGATTGAAATGATCAAGGTAACGTGGCCTTAACTGATCTTCTTTGTATACATACACTGCCTGTACACAATGAACGTTGTGGGCCGTATAACTGGTCGTTGTCGACGATGTTCCAAAAGGGGTAGGGCGCAGGGCGTGGCCGACGCCGCGCGCCACCACATTTCCCTTGCCTCCTGTCTTCGTCCCCCCGTCTCGCAATTACCATAGCCTATCCCTGTGTATCCCTGCGATGCATCTCCTATGTAAAATTGCTTATGTCTCATGCCATTCTTCGCATTCTAGGACTGCATCATCGACCATCCTGATGACGCTCGTCATGGTGTATCTCGCCCTCAAATCAAGAAGTACGTAAATGCGGTTCCTGTACACTGCCTGGGGTATTAATGGTGCTGTACAGGTATGTTGAGGACAAGTATGATCTTGAAATCGGCAACGCGCAAATCACGCAGCTCAGCAAGGCCATCACATCTGGAGCTGAGAAGGGTCTATTTGTCCTTCCCAAGGGTAATTCTATTCCGCGCACGATTGTGGTCTTGAAGGCTAATGTACATGCACGTAGGACCCTCTGGTCGAGTGAAGCTCCCTCCCAAGGCCAGTCGGTCGGCAGAAACGTCTGCAGCGAAGGAGGTATGTTGTTAAGTGTTATCATATGTCTGTGAAAGGTGATGTAACTATTAGAACAAGCCTGAACCGAAGGTTGCCAAACCAAAGGCCGCGCCCGCGAAGGCAGCTAAGCCCATCGCAAAGAAACCCGCCGCTGCGAAGAAGCCAGCTTCGACAAAGGCTGCTCCTGCTCCCAAAAAGACTGCGCCGGCGTCTAAATCGACTGCAGCGGCTAAAGCTGTAGCATCTGGCCCGAAATCTACTGCATTAAAGACAGCAAAGAGAACTATTACACCGAAAGCAACTAAGTCTGCTCCTGCTGCTAAGCCAAAGGCAGCCGCGAAGAAGCCAGCAGTGAAAGCTGCGCTGGCCAAGAAAGCCGCTCCTGCGAAGAAGACCGCTGTATCGAGCAGGCGCGATAGCGCTAAGAAGGTGCGTGTGTGGCTACATACATCTGTTTTTTGTCA